ATCATGATGATGGTGATGATGATGATGATGGTGATGATGATGATGATGATGATGATGATGATGATGGTGATGATGGTGATGATGATGGTGATGATGGTGATGATGATGGTGATGATGGTGATGATGGTGGTGATGATGATGGTGATGATGGTGATGATGGTGATGATGATGGTGATGATGATGGTGGTGGTGATGATCATGATGATGGTGATGATGGTGATGATGATGGTGATGATGGTGATGATGGTGGTGATGATGATGGTGATGATGATGGTGGTGGTGATGATCATGATGATGGTGGTGATGATGATGGTGATGATGATGGTGGTGGTGATGATCATGATGATGGTGGTGATGATGATGGTGATGATGATGGTGGTGGTGATGATCATGATGATGGTGGTGGTGATGTTAATAAAATGGGTGATGTGGTGGTTATGATGGTGGTGGCCACGATGAATGATGATGATGGTGATGATGATGGTGATGATGATGATGGTGGTGATGATCATGATGATGGTGGTGGTGATGTTAATAAAATGGGTGATGTGGTGGTTTTGATGGTGGTGGCCACGATGATAATGGTGATGGTGGTGTTGTGTTGACGTGTGGTGGTTATGATGGTGGTGGCCACGATGATAATGGTGATGGTGGTGTTGTGTTGACGATACTGATGATGGTGGTGATGATCATGACTGGTGGTGGTGGTGATGTTAATAAAATGGGTGGTGTGGTGATGGTGGTTGATGGTGGTTGTGATAAAGGTGATGATAATGATGTTGATGGTAACAATGATGATGGTGGTGATGACAATTCTAGTGGTGTTGGATGGTGGTGGAATTGATGGTGGTGGATATCTGTAATAATGGTAAAGATACGATGATCACAGTAGCTTGGCTACAAAACGCACGTACCAATTGTCTATTCAAATCAGTCGAGTCCCCAGCAGGATTGGGAGCATCCAGTGATAAAACAACACAATTTGCTGCTATGGTCAATAAGATGAAATAATCAAACGGTCTGGAAATATAGGTTAAGGAAAACACAAGCGACAGAAAACAACATTATCTTAAAATGCTTAAAACTATATAAAACAAATGGGATTTTAGTAGAACAATAGATAGAGCAGATGTCCTTCTTCCCCTTTTCCTTGAACAAAGTTAAGCCTGCTGTTTTCGACTTGCTCACAGTCATATATATATACTGCAATATCTATGAATTTTTCTCGTAAAAAGTTAATTCTCACTAGATATCTATGTTTGACTTGCATTGGTAACAAGTCATTTCACGAAAGTCAAAGTGAAGACACGAGTCATCTGATTGTCAAGTCAGAAGTGACAAAAATTGTGACTCGAGTCTAAGGCCAGGGACGAAGTCAAACCGGAATGACAATTGACATTGTCAACATGTTTACATGAGACCGGTACGAAAATCACAAAATTTTCAATTTATTCCCCTTGCCAGGCAATTTTCTTTTCTAGATGGCTTTTGTTAGCATGTGTTGTTCCAATGTCAAGGTTACAGCCGAGACCGGTCTGAAATGTCTTTGTGTTTACATTCATCCCAGTCTGAATTCATGCCGGTCTGAAGTCAGTTGGCTTGGTCCAGCAGGTGGAATGATTTGAGACCGGTCTGAGTTATTTTCGTCTCAGTCTCGTGTAAACATCTGTTATTAATAATGCTATGACCGAAACGAAATGGTCCCGGTTTGACTTCGTTCCGGTCTGATGTAAACAGAGCCGAAAGCCGGTTTTCCACTAGCGAACTTTTTCGCGCAAAGCGACCTTTTTCCTTTGTCGCCATCCATTTTGCTACGTCTTGCTGGCGTAATAAGTGATACCGACAAAGGAAAAAGGTCGCTTCGCGCGAGAAAATTCGCCAGTGGAAAACCGGCTTTAGTCACATAAATCAAGTGTACGGCTCTGCATGCACGACGAGATCTATATCAAAACACCACAGGCCATTTCTTCCAATTCTAAACTATAAATTTAGCTGATGTGTTACACCGGTACGTTTTCCTCTAATTCTGAACTATAAATTTAACAATATTTTTCAAAATTAAATTAACATACAAGGCTGCTTTGCCTAGTTTAGTACACAGGATGATGTGGTCGAATTTATCGTGATGGCGACGCGCTTCCAATATTGCAAACGACCAATAGATGATATGAAAAAGCACATCCCAAGCCACAGATGGTGTTTCGAGATAAAATTCAATCGTTTTGAGAATTTTATCTTCACGAAACTACGAGGAGTATAAAAACTTTAAGGCATAGATCTTTCGCAGATCTTTATGTAAAATTTACAAAAGCAATATTGCTTTTTGAGAATTCTCCAATTCGTGTTGACGTCATCACATTCTCATCTCATATATCTTTGCCAAAAATGGTCGTCAGAATTGAAATCTTCATGCTTCAAATATCAAGGGCGGTTTAGACTATCAAAGTTTCTGTGATCACAGTAGGAGTTTTGCATATAGGTAAATTCTGAAGGATTTGTAAGAAATGTTTGAGGGAAATGACTCAATGTTAAACATTGTTTTTTTATCTCGAAACGCAAGCAAAGTTCTATTTTATATTGTGTTTTATGTGAATTCACCATAGATATCTTATATACACTAGATAGCGCATCTCTTTTAGTAAAATTGAAGCCAGGAATATTCCAGCGGTTACCCCCATATATGGCGGCCATGTTGGAGTTTCCCACTCGCTAATAAACGCTTAAAAAACAACAATAACTTTCATCATTTGAATAGTTTGAAAACGTATTTGGAATAGGTTTAACTTAATGTTTAAGTTCCCTGCTTAAGAAATAGAAAACATACGAGTCTTCTCATTTCATGGGAATATCCTGAGTCTGCATTCACGGCTTCAATTTTTGAATTGCAGAATAATTAGATGCACTATCTATAGCAATAGCTCCTCAAGGGTTTTTTGTAAAGAAAGATAAGCATTTTAAGAGGAAAACAAAGTTTAGTAATGACTGATTTTCTGTCGTTGGCGTTATATGTTGTTATGTTGGTTGGCAAACTCGACGCATCTTGGACTTAGTAAGGCAGGTGTGGATTATCTCCAAAGCAATTTACATTAAGATTTCATAATTTGATAATTTGTTACTATCAGTCTGTTGTTCTCAAAACAGTGACGTAAATAAGTTTATATTTACTCGATGTATATCTCCATCAGTTCTAGTACGTGATGAACCGATATCGGATATATGGGCGCTATAAACTCAAAACATTCGTATCGGTACTTCTCTTTCTGATATTATCATGCAGTATTATTAAGACACTATAGACTGATGAAGACACTAGACTGGAGTGTCGAAACGTTGGGTCGTGAATGTAAATTCAGCTGGGCTTTGTATTCATTTATTAAAACCAGAGTAGCGAGCGAAAACATGACTGATCTTAATCCAGTATTATATCATGCGAGCAAAATAAAGCATATGTTCGATTATAGATAAATTTGAAATATATTGACTGTATTTAAAAAATTATTTTAATACAATATACTGATAATTGTTTTTGTTAGTTCACGGCCAGGTTACCTGGTGAAGTATATTGCTGCAGTCCTATAGGATTGGATCCAAATTAAGTCAGTCCTTGGACTGGATGGAAATTAGCTCCCCTGACTTTAAATAGTGATTTATTCGTATGAGATTCATTTCAAATCCTCCAGTTCGGACTGGACTAGATTTCAAGTCCTCGAATTTGATCCCAAGGTTGGAAAAAAATAGTAAAAAGCTAAAAATTGTTAGATGCAATAATTTAACTATCCTGAACAATATACTAAAAGTCCCCATGTATCGATACTCTTGGAGCTTTTTCCATTATGAGTTCATGACAAGGTTTTTTTCGATTTCCCTATTACTCCCATATTGTTAAAAAAACATTTTTCACTCATAACAAAAGTTCACTCATAACAAAAATGACTCGCATCACTAGAAAGCTCATAAAAACTACATATAAGACATTTGAACAGTCACCTAAATTTTTCAAGCAGTTTTCGAGTTATTGCTGTTCCAAATGTGACAAATAGGCCAAAATCTGGCAAAAATCCTGGGTACTAGTCTGACAACACGTTTCCAACAGCTCATAACTCAAGAAGAACTTGCAAAATCATGGTAGCCGTTTAAATGTCTTATATGTAGTTTTTTTTTGTAAGTTTTCTAACGATGTAACTTATTTTTCCTATAAATGAATCTGAAATTTCACTTTTTTAACAATATAGGAGTTCACTAGGGAAATCGAACAAAAAACTTGTCATAATGGTGAAAGCTCCAAGAGGATACACGAGGACTTTTAGTATGTTATCAAGGTTGCTGAAGAGAGTGCATAGTATACGCAAATTTTTGGCTTTTTACTAATTTTTTCTGACCTATTTTCTATTTTGATTGTACTATGTTTGCAATTTACTATGTTTATTTATCGGCCTGTTTTACGATGTTTTTTGCTCGCACATTGCAGATTGTTTGTAAATGTGTTGTTCGATTTTCCACTAATTTTTATCGCCCCCTGTCTTCTGTCTGTTCATTTGTCTGTTTGTCAACTTTTGTCTTCCTTTTCAATATCTATTTTACATTTTGAGTATGGTAATTCCAGCCATCTAGTATATAATTTGACTTCATAATTTATGTCATGTCATGAATTGTAATCTGTATTATGTCTATCAATTTTAATGGCAAAACTTAATAAAATAAATTTAAAGTATATTTTGATTTCAATTTCGTTGCAACACAAGCAGTGGCGTAACTACAATGGGCTCGGACCGGGCGAACCCGGGGGCCCCCAACTCAAATGGGCCAAATGGGGCCCCCAGGCTCCTCTGATATGTCACAATGTCGTTTTCTGACCATCAGAATTCTGTACAATCTCTCCCCAAAGTCCGGGAAATAGCATTTCAGAGAGTCTAGATTAAAAAATTTTCCGGGTGAGCATGCCCTGGACCCCTAGAAAACTCGTGCATATACGGCGCTCAACTCGTGCCTTTGGTACTTCTACTAGTGGGGGCCTTCGAAAATTTTGAACCGGGGGCCCCCTGATATAACGTTACGCCATTGAACACAAGTCAAGGCTATAGTTTCCACTCAGGAAAATTACCGTGGATTGGAACGGACAAGAAAATTTCTCTTTGTCTTGTGAGCTCTGGGTTAGAACTAATGACTTCTATAACACAAAGAAAAATGTTCTTGTCCGTTCCAATCCACGGTTAATTTTCCTGAGTGGAAACTAGCCTTCATTCTACCAACTGAGCGACTGGAATCGCAGGGTTCGATTGCTGTCATAGAGGGGCTATTGTTGCATTTTTCGCAGCTGTTCCCTGTTACGTATAAATACATGTCTAAAATTTACATTCAAAATTCAGTGCATGTATATAAAATCCTTCAACGTTAACACTAAAGGCTCATCAATGAAAGATAAACGCATCATTTACACCGATTTAGTGTGAATTATATCACCATGATTTTTGTGTGAAGACTGAAACAACAAATTTACACCTAGGGTGTAACTATCACAAATTTGGTTAGCCTCCTCTGCAGGTATCTCTAAGGGGGTTTAGCCTGCGAATGGGTAGTTCGAAAAACCAAAATCTCTTCGAAATAGTAGTAAAGGCCATCCCTTGTAGGACCATCTGACAAAACTAGAAAAAACTGCAATGTTTGGTATTGAAAGGACTCTTCTTACAATCTATAGTTTCATAGTATTCTTAAACTGTAGAATACAAAGAAAAAGGCGTTCTCTCAAGCGGGATTGGTGTCAGAATGAATTACTACAATCATAGACATAACTGGTTGAGACTATTTTCCCCCAAATCAAATTTCGCATATTTCTATGATAAACTCCGTGTTGAATCATGTTGCCCTTCTTAAGCCCCCGCTCCCCCAACTCAATGTTAGCTTGTGTCATGGTAGGTTGTTTCGGCGTTGTTTACAACACTAGGGACCTTTAGCTAGCAGGACTGCGATGGCTATTAATACAATGAAATCTATGACAGTGTAGAAAGAAAATGCATAATTAAAGGTCCCTTGGGAGTTTTAGACGTCGTCCTTGCTCTGTTTACAACAGCAAACCAAAGCTTTTCACGTTTTGTACACAACGTCTGCCTTTCAAGCCGCGAGAAGTCGTCCTTGCCAAATTGGCGTAGTAGAAGTCTTCTCAACTATAAACCTCTGTCTTAATCTTCTTAAATTGCAATAAATTCATACAACGGATAACACAAGACATATGTTGATCTTAAAGTTACTTATTTGAATGAGTTTGTTTTGGCCGTCGTCGTCGCGTTGCCGTCACCTAGGGCGCTTTCCATTTAATGGCCTGACCAATCACACCCGAATTCTTTTCTCTGTATCACTGGAAAGATCTGGTCTATGTTTCTCAAATATCTAACGAAAATGGACCTCATTCTAATGTTATCTAAAATTTTCGGTCAGATAGGTTCGAAGCCCAAATCTTATGTGTTTCATTCAACAATTTGACCGTTCTGGCCGTGTTAACGGAAAGCGCCCCCATTTGCTAAAGGTCCCTATTGAACAGGGGGGAGGGCGAAACAAAGTTTGTTTTGTCAACGTTCAATAACTTTGTAATATTGGCTGGAATGCTCTCAAGAGTTGTGTCCAAGATTGTAGCTTTTTATATCTCTGAGGATCATCGTCAGTTTTTTTTACATATACGGCTTAGGGGATATCAGAATCAGAAAACCGCATATCGCAAGAGATTAACTGCACAGCACGCTCTGGTCATGTGTCTTTAACACTTAGATGTTAATTTATGCAATATTTCGATAATTTGCAACAGCTTGGAATTATTAAGAATGATCATTACTCAGCTAAATTCATGACTCTATTTCTTCATGTGCTATATGTAAACATAGACGGCCTATACAGACACTTAGGATTCTTTAGTCCTGGCTACATCCCTATATATGAACTGACAATTTCAGCCATAAATATATATATATAGGTAGCAAACAAAATATCTGAATTTTATTTTCAAGTCTTGACACGGGCAATGGGGGTCTTGGCTCTTTTCAAATCCACATTATTGATCAACATTCTACTCATTAAAATACAAATACAAAATATTGTATATTTAATCAGAAAAAGATAAGCAATCAGTAAAAAAAATAAGCATTTAAAATATATCTCAGAGACCGTATTTCAAAAGGCAGTAAATTTAGAAGCAAAAACATATACTGAAAAACCGCTTCTGTGTATCAGCTGTGCATATATAGATATTGTAGATTCTACAACAAATGTGCAAGCGATATACAAGCCGCTCTCTTCGTAATACGTCTGAATCAATAACACGTTCCAAATGCAAGTGCATGCATGATATTAAAAATTGAATGGATAATAATAAGCTCATAATTTTTGCAGAATATTTCAAATTTAAGTATTTTGTGACAACTTTAGGATGAAATAGACAATAAAGCAATTCAATTCTTGCACTTTATATCATATGTAAAACGCAGAACAATATAAGTTCGATATAGTAGTATACATTCGCCCGCATATGACAATAAATTTTAATGTATGCAAGTAAAAAAACATGAAAACTGTTTCAAAATAATAAACACTAAAGTGTGTACAGTATACTTAGCCTGTATATTTTACGTGTTTTTTTCACAAGATATACATGTGTGAAATTAATTTTAGGCTTGACAAAATAACACCTTCGCAGTTTTGGCTCTTTTTGGGTATATTTTTAAAACTTTGCAAATTTCAGCCTTTGATATAAACAATAGTCTATATTCTTTGAAAATGAAACGATATTTTTATAAATGAAAAAGAGTGCATATATTAGTATATATATATATATACCGTAATATAATGGCATATTATAGTCAAGATTGAGGGCATTGTACGGCTATACCGGTGAAACGTGTTGATATTTTAGCGATTGTATTAGGAAATCTCGTGCTGGGCATCTTATTAATACAATATGCTGTTTCCAATAAACTGGAAAATATGATTTATAAACATAGAACGCGATACATTTGAAAATTTACTTTAGTCACAATCTTTGCCGTGGGTTGAAAAAAAAAACTCTTAAAATTAAAGAAATATACTTGATTAATTAAATATAAAATATACGAACGAAAAGTATAATATAAACCACGTATATCATATGCATATATTATATGAGCGATTATGCTTTAAATCTTTGCAATTTCGGCTAAATTTTGAACTTTATATTGTATTATGCCTTATGACCACAATACCTGTATATATACACGGGGTTTAATGCAACAAACATCAATTCAAAAGTAACAAATTAATGCATGGGGGCATGGCGTTGTTCTACTACGCGATAGCGCTATTCACCGGATGTATAATGTTGTTAACTTTCAAGCTTTGCAGAATGCCGTTGTTTGAAAGCCGTGTAAAGCTATAAAGCCATGCTAACAAACCAGAATACGGGTTGATGATCAAGACAGGCAATTAACTCTCGCTCGCGTTTTGACCGCAAACATGAAATTTGAGCACCCTTTTCAAATTTTGATGAGAGTCGATGAAGGTTTTCGCTCGCTTGACCGCGATAAGATCTATATATAGCATCCAACTCTCATCAATTCTTTTTTTCTCGTTTGAGTCTTGAGAGAGTCACGAGAGTTGAGAGAACTCTCACGCACACGCACGCTTTTCAACTCTCGTTTGACAAAGACATATTTCGGGCGACAAGCCGGAGGATACTTATGTAGAAAAAACAAATATATAAATAAATATAGTCATGAGTAACCGAACGATCCTACTTAAAAAAGATAGAACCGGTCATAATGACGATTTTGAAGAAACAAACCCATATTTAGGCTATACAGTCCCGGAGTCAAACTCAGGACGAGGGTTCATGATGCGAGTCCCAATTCTTTCTCGCGCTTGACATGCTGCTCATCAATTTTCAGTTGGCTCAAATTTTGATGAGAGATTTTTCTCGTTCGACCGATAATATCCACGGTCAACTCTCATCGACTCTCATACAACTCTTGTTCTCGTTTGATCGGGGCATGAGAAACTATCGCTTCTCAATTCTCATTTTCCGCGTCATGAGCGGCCGGCTATATATAGCCATGGGACGCTTTGAAACCAAACCGCAATGATTTGAACGCAGTTCTATAACCATATATACGAATTCACAGTCCCACAAACGTGAAGCTATAAAACAAAACTATAATAATCCCGAGGGCTGTTGACTGTGTTGTATGTAAAACTTACGATAATAAATAAAAATAAGTATACGTTTGAAAAGGATACTTGGAATTGACAAGCCGTGATGAATATTTTCGAATGGGATTATTGCTTGTTAGGCAAAATAGCGAATAGTTCGTCTTCTTCTGAGCACCAAAATCGTTCTCGCCTCGCAATGAAAATCCAGCCCATCGTCGAGCCAAGCTTTCGACCGTTGAACTTGTAGATCGATTTGTGCCGGTCGTATCATTTCGAACTCTCTCGGCCATGAAGCGAGATTGATGCTTTTCGGGTGGGTATATCAACGGTTTGAAACGGTTACCTTGCCATTTTTTGGGTGAAGTTTGAAGTTTTATCCCGAAAAATTGAGTCAGACGCGTTCGATCTTTCTTGGTATAACTGTTTAAAACAAAGTGATCTGACAGTTGTGTATTCAGTGTGCCAGCAGCTGGTTATAGTCGGCAGCTCATTTTATATCCTAATACTAAAGCTTATTTGAATAATTACAACATGGAAATCAAAGCTGTAATACTGTATTATAAATAATCGGCGCGCGCACCTCATTTGGATCGTTGCCTGCTGACATAAAGGCTGCGTTTATATTTGTACCGCGTCTGTACCGGCTAGCCTCCCGTAGCGACGTGAAAAAACAGCTATCCGTACCGTTTAGGAACGCTATTTTTAAACGAATTATTGCAACGGAGAGATGTTATTTCGCTCAGCTTCTGAAAGTTGTATATTCCGTATCGGATAGATGCTTTTTCGCGCCACTTTATAGTGGAAACATAAGCTTGGGGCTTGTTTATATACGTATTTTTATCTCTGGCCTCGGCCTGGACGAGGTATCATTATTTATTATTTAAAATTCTTTATACACGGTAGCTTATCAACCTATAAAGTATATCACATTTATCATAAGAATTTGCTCACATTTATGAATAATATAAGTATTGTAAATTGTGCCTGTAAATAGTCTGCCAACTTTCTCATTAGACATGATTAATATGTTACTATTTTAAAACTCATTAATATGTTACTATTTTAATACTCTATATCTCTTAAAACTTCTGTAAATAGCTCTAACTCTCACTTTCCTGTACATGTAAAAATCTTATTCAATTTCTTGGCACACGCCCCTCGTGGAAATCAGCTTCGGTTGAACGGGGTCAGCGTGTGTAAATAAAAATCTATCTTCTCTATCTATATCTATTAAAAATATAGTGTTTTCTAATAAAGTTTCAAATAATTAAAATCGTTGCTTTTCATAAGGCCGTGTAGAAATTTAAGAATAAACAGAAGAACAACAACTAAACTATAGTAAATATCATGCATGCATTTACTGGACATTATTACATTACTGAGCTCTACCAAAACTCTTCAACAATTACAGTGAATTAGTTCTATCCAGCCCAAATACTGATATTAAACAAGAGCATAGCCTGGTAACGAGGCTGGAAAAATCAACATGGCGGCAGATTTTTTGAAATGTGAATTTTCACATTTTTTGCCGACTGCTTGTTTGCACAACACGTTTAATAAAAATTGTACGTGAATATACCAGTTTGAGAGTAGATTGCTAACAAGTATTGAGAACAATACTCAGAAGCGGCGTAGATAAATGGGCAGGTGTGTTATCGGCAATATAATACAATATGTCACGTAGCTATACCGAACGTCTACTGAACAGAATATTTTTTCTTGCCAAAATATGCGCACATATAACACATACGTTGCTTTTCAGTTTTTATTTTCATTATCGTAGGCCCATCACACACGTAAAAATCTCACAACTTGTCAACAAGATGTGTTTGCAACAGGCTCGGTTGTAGCAAGCTTGTCAACAAGCTGTAATCATTAATGTTGTTATTTTATCAAGTTGCTACAAGGCCGTCACTCACAACTTGTTGACCGCAAATTGTTGAATTGCAGGGCGATTACAAGTTGTTGGAACAACTTGTAGGCTTAGGCAAGTCTGTTGAGTTCAACAACCTTGTAGCAAGTTGTCGCGGCGACAAGCCGTTGACAACTTGTCAATAAGCTGGGTCTGGAAACAAGCGGTGCGAACACATCCTGTTGACAAGTTGTTGGAACAGCATTGCTACATGTCTGCTGCATGGTTTAAATGTGCAAACAACTTCATTTCTCAAAAAGAAAGTCTCTTTCGTGAAAGATTAACTTGTCTGCGCAGTGTGTAAACACGGCACATGGCTGCAAGCTTTGTATTATGTTTTTGTGACGTACGAAACAATTCTCGAAAGAAAATATTCTCAAGTCAAGTGGCTACCAACGGCGACGCTGCAAAGTGATTTTTATCACAGCAAATTATCGCTTCGCTTTTGTTTTCTCTGTTTACATTTTGTTTCTTTGGCTGGTTGCTTTTTCGCATTGATTATCAAGGCAATGCATTGTCTTTGCTTGCGACATGTTGGCATAGCTGCCGGGCTGATTGTATTCAATTAAATAGTTTTTTATCAATTAAATTAATTCAAAGTATCCGAAATGCAACTATTATTAAACGCATTTCTGATAAAAAAAAAAAACAGGACGTATAATATATAAGTCAATAGAGAGGTTAAGATACCCCGGTTTCGGTGTACGTGTACGCGAAGCATGATTTTGGTTGGCAATATTTTCGTCGATGTCTGTAGCTTTACTCGAAATTAAGGTGCACATTTTTCGCATTATATCATTGTCTATTGCAAGAAAACAGAAAAAGTATGATCGAATTACAGACATCAGTAAAACAAGATGACACTACTCGTACCCGTACACCGAAACCGGGGTATCTTAACCTCTCTAATATAAGAGCCAGTGGCATAACGGAGGAACAGGGGGCCCTTATTTGGTGCGGGGGCCCCTGTTGTCTGTTGTCATTGTTTGACTGAGATATTATATTTATATTGAGTATTTATAGAATGTTCTGGAAAATTCCATGTCTATAACAATAACAGTCCCCAACACATGCAACAACTAATAAGAATAAGATGCTTGTGGTGTTACTCTGAGTGTATATCCACACCGGGCAAGCTTGAAAAATATGCCTGACCACGGTGGGAATCGAACCTACAACCTTTGGAATACTAGCCCAATGCTCTGCCAACTGAGCTACGCGGTCAGGTCGGTTCGAGTATGTGATATTTCGGAACAGAATCTAGTTCCTTCGATATCAATGTAATCTAATAATCATGATCTTCGAGTATGTAATTGAAATATCACATACTCGAAACGACCAGACCGCGTAGCTCAGTTGGCAGAGCATTGGGCTAGTATTCCAAAGGTCGTAGGTTCGATTCCCACCGCGGTCAGGCATATTTTTCAAGCTTGCCCGGTGTGGATATACACTCAGAGTAACATCACAAACATCATATTCACCTGAGTACATTACACCAACACAGAAAAAATCATAATAAGAATAACTTTTGTTTTATTTGAGATGGAATAAAAAAAATCAGCTATATACCGTTGTCGATGGAGGCTTTATTATTAAGCATTGTTAATTTTGCATTTTCTCATTGATTCCTCGCCTGCATTTCTTAAGTTTCTAATTTTCTGCTGAAATAGGTCATGACTGATGGTGCCCCTAACTGTCGGGAGCCCTTAGTTTTTGAACTAACTAGTCTACCCAATGAGCGTTATACGCCACTGATAAGAGTATAAAGATTTTAGCGATTTTTGTGCAAGGGATTTTGTGGTAATTACTATATATCGAGTTACCTTAATTCTTAAAACATTAATTCCCTTTTTTCCTCCCCAAAACAGCAACAGGATTCTGTTGAGTGTAACCATAGGCATAGACAATCCAGATTTGTCTTTTGGATTGTCTATATGGCAGGCCTCGAATTTCCCTGAAACCAATCGACGGCAATGACGTTAAAATTTGCCGTAGAACGTAACAGCTGTCTACGGCAATTTTGGCAGTTTCAACGGCATTTTTCAAATTACTGTAATAAAACTTTAATTTTATTGTTATTTTGGATTTTGGACAAGCTAGAAACATGTCTACGTATTTCTTTAGTGTTTTTTTTTTCTCGAAGAAAACTGAGACTAATAGTGATTTACGCATGATTTGATCAACATCTGAATAGTATAAAAATTGCACTATACGATCCACGGCATTTTGTTCTCCCTCTACGGCAATTGCCGCGATAAAATTCGAGCCCTGGTCTATGCATGGTGTAACGTACTAAGTAGTATTATGTAAGTCTGTTTTTCTCTGAAAAGTAAACTGCCTGAATATCGAAAAACACTTGACATAGCATGCAGGTTTTATAAATCGTTTTCAGAAAGTTCAGGGGAAAATATATCATCAACAAATATTCAAATTTATATATAAACCTATATTTTTCTAACTATATACCAATATACATGATTTATGTTATAATATGATAACAGTTTAACATTTAATATTCTAAATTTAATATTTTAAATGTTTAATAATTATTCACCATTTACTTTCTCCAAAAATCAGGATCGTTTGTCATTTTCCTTTGGAAATTTTCAAACCATTTCTGGACAGCGCTCATTGGCACATAAGTCTCTTGCGGATTTGGAGTCATTTGACTTTGCTGTAGCCCGAACGACGATGCATAATTCACAAAATGTTCCAGCATCTTCATTGTGAATTCGACCTGAGCATTCAGATTCGAGGGTGTGGTGTTCAATGCGGGCGTTTGTTGAGCGAGGTCATTCGAAGGTTCAACAGAAATTCCAATCAACGCCATTCCTTCTTGAGAGGGTGTAGAAAAATTGGTTCCAAACGGATTGCTTTCAGCCGTTTTATGCAACTGATTTGTATAAAAAAACACTATATTACCATCCTTTAAAGTGCCTATGACACGAAATTTTACCCCAAAGGTTTATAGTTGCATTGTAAAGATCACTTAAAATGTCTTAATATTTTCTTTTATAGAATTTTGGTAGCTTGCTCCTTTTCAAGATATTTAACTTTGTTTCATATGCAAATATCACCGGTGTGACATCGCATCACATAATGAGTTTTCAGAAAAGTACAGTTTTCTTGACGAATACGTATCTAAAAAACTTAAAAATTGCCCTTGTATATGTATTAATTTCATAACTGGTAATTAACCCTCTGTATTTGTTTGTAAAAATATTTTATCAAGGTAAAATATTGCGTTTTCAAAATGTCATTATGCGATGTGATGTCCGACACCGGTGATATTTGCATATGAAACAAAGTTGAATATCTTGCAAAGGAAGCAAGTTACCAAAATTCTATAAACGAAGTTATTAAGTCATTTTAAGTGATCTTTACAATGCAGTCATAAACATTTGGGGTGAAATTTTGTGTCATAGGCACTTTAAATCCTTTGTATGCTGATTCCTATACTGTACTTACAGCAGTCAGTTGCCCCAGGGTTTGAGGACAAGCCCTGAAAAAACACTCAGGCATGTACTCATCCATTAACACAGTTGTACATAATTTCAGCATACCTGTGAGATCTTGAAGATAGCACTTGGTTTCGTATTTGATATGTGTCCCAGGAGTTGCCACGCGGGTTGCGGGCCGGGCCAGGAGAAGAACACTCCGCCTCCCATTCCCTCGGGGAACGGAACGGTACCAAGAAGACATATTACGATGTGGTGGACTTTGTCCGGCTCGGCAAGACTTAAAACAAACTGATTCTCCGTTACCTGCTGGAAGTCTGTTTGAATCTAAAAATTAGAAGAAAAATATGAAATCAGTATAAACGAGACAATGTTTCGTCTTAACCCAAGACATCTTCAGATCAGACTAACCGTAAAATTACATATATTTCTGTGTATGGCTCTATTTAAGATTACTATTTCCCTCCTGGAAAATCGCTCGAGAATAAACTGAATTGAAGTAAGGATCATCTCCTATTCATCCAGTGTTACTACAGGAGGAAACCTAAAATAAACTAACTTTATTTATAGTGGATAGCTCTATCAGTTCTAAACTGTTCTCCCTAGAGGTCCAGTAATGATTATCTCTTATTGATCCAGTGTTACTACAGGAGGAAACCTAAGCTAAACTAACTTTATTTATACCTTTATCAGTTCTAAATTGTTCTTTCTAGAGATCCAGTAAGGATCATCTCCTATATATTGATGTTTATGCTGATAATATTCAAAGGCATAATCACTTTTGGCATATTTGAAAACTGAGTTTTGGCATTTGAAAACTGAGTTTTGGCATTTGAAAACTGAGTTTTGGCATTTGACTACTGAGTTTTGGCATTTGAAAAGGGAGTTCTGGCTTTTGAAAACTGAGTTTTAGCATTTGAAAACTGAGTTTTGGCATTTGAAAACTGAGTTTTGGCATTTGAAAACTGAGTTTTGGCATTTGAAAACTGAGTTTTGGCATTTGAAAACTGAGTTTTGGCATTTGAAAACTGAGTTTTGGCATTTGAAAAGGGAGTTCTGGCTTTTGAAAACTGAGTTTTAGCATTTGAAAACTGAGTTTTGGCATTTGAAAACTGAGTTTTGGCATTTGAAAACGGAGTTCTGGCATTTGAAAAGGGAGTTCTGGCATTTGAAAACAGAGTTGTAGCATTTGAAAACGGAGTTCTGGCTTTTGAAAAAGGAGTTCTGGCATTTGAAAACAGGGTTTTGGCATTTGAAAAGGGTGTTCTGGCATTTGAAAACAGAGTTTTAGCATTTGAAAATGGAGTTCTGGCTTTTGAAAACGGAGTTCTGGCATTTGAAAACGGAGTTTTGGCATTTGAAAAGGGAGTTCTGGCATTTGAAAACTGAGTTTTAGCATTTGAAAACGGAGTTCTGGCTTTTGAAAAAGGAGTTATGGCATTTGAAAACTGAGTTTTGGTATTTGAAAAGATAGTTCTGGCATTTGAAAACTGAGTTTTGGCATTTGAAAACAGAGATTTAGTATTTAAAAACGGAGTTCTGGCTTTTGAAAAAGGAGTTCTGGCATTTGAAAACAGGGTTTTGGCATTTGAAAAGGGAGTTTTGGCATTTGAAAAGGAAGTTCTGGCATTTGAAAAGGGAGTTCTGGCATGTGAAAAGCAAAAGGGAGTTCTGGCATTTGAAAAGGGAGTTTTGGCATTTGAAAACAGAGTTCTGGCATTTGAAAACGGAG